CTTTCTTATATCTGCAGGGGATTGTATATATTCTAGGGATGCTTATTAATTATATATCTTTGATATAAATTTGGAGTTGAGTACCTCTTATATTTTGAGAATAAAATTACTTTGACGTTAAAAAAGGATATTAATACACACACTTTGTTACATACTGACGGTTTTTATCAGTATGTAACATAAACCATTAGTTTTAATGGTATAAATAATAGAAACTGTCAGTTTCAACATACAACTAACAAAAATTGTAAATGTGTAACAGAGTGTATAATTTTATAGTATATATATACCATTTCCTTAAAAAAAAAAAATCCCTTTCTTGGAATATGAAGTTTTGGTCAAATGTTAAAGATCAAGAAATTATAAATTTGGAAAATGATTAGTATATTTTTTATTTCAATATATCTCATGACACTCATTAGTTTAATCATTAAAATCTACAACTTTTAATTTTTTCACATTTAATTCAAATTTAAAAATAATATATTCCTAATGAACATGTTATGAGATATATTGAATCAAAGGGTATGTCAATCATTATCCTCTAAATTTACATTGATCAAGTACCAAAATAAGAAACCGTGCCCATGCATGTGTATCTTTGGGGAACTAGCTTATAATGCTATAGGTATAATGTTATGTAAATTGTAAGCTTCTAATCATGATATAATATTAAAAGATAAGTGTGATATATCTTTAAATGAATAAATATATATAATATCATGAATAAATCTTTGACTCAAGTAAAAATGAATCAATTATATAATAATATATCATATTATAAATTTATAATATCATATGACATTATACCTATATTATTTTTATTAGCCTATTAGTATCTCAAATCCTAACAATATTGGATTTCCCTCCCCCAAGCAACTTCTCCTTTTAATACAAGATGTAAGCAGATGCTACTTCCCAATAGTGAAAGGAAGGAGAAGTGGGGAGTTTCATAGTCAAATTATTAATTATTCACACGAGGTTTCTAAATAAAAATTATTTGTAATTTTTTTTTAAATTCAACCTTGTTCGTTAAAATGAGAAGCAAAGTCTCTTAATTAACACACCTAAACTCATTTTTAGAGTTGAAACAACAAATTAACTAATCGTAATCAAGGTACATATTACAAAAATTAAACCTAAGTATAAAAACTCAAGAAAAACTTGAAAACAGGTACCGTTTGTAGGAAGTATCCTTAAAAGGTTGGGCCCCCGTTTACAAGATTTTTTTTTTGTTTTTTGTTTTTGGCTGAATCCCATTTACAAGATAATTTATCTTTTAACAAATCAAGAAAAGGGATTTATTTTTTTCAAAGAAAATTACAAGTTCAAGATACTAATACTATCTAAAGAATAGATCCCTTTACCATACCCGTCTTGTTTTCTTACAATTGATTCGATTCTTTCAACAGTGGCCGAGGGATTTGTTTTAATTTTCCTAAGACACAATTCAGTCAAAATCTGATGCTCTTTGCATGTTGACCAAATCGACACAAAAGTTGCAGGCTTTCTTTCTTATTAAGAGGATCTCATTACGAGGAAAAGTACGTGGGTTGGGAAGTAAACGAGACAGGAAAAACAGAATTCGAGCAAATTAATTAAAGGGATTGATTTTGTAAAAGAAAGAGTCCAAAACACATATGATTGTTACTGAAAATGTATTTTACTTGATATAACGAGATAATAAAATAATATTAACATGACTGTTTTCTTATTTATTCAAAATTATGTGATATGGTATTCAATCTAATTTTAAACTTGTGTAAAATTAATATTCAATTTATTTTTATTTTTTAATGACATTTCAAATTGTCAGGGTTCAGTTACACTGTTTATGTGAAGCAATTGACACACACACACGACCAACTTGCGGAACTTGGGGAAGTGAAATATAAATATGGAAAGATAAATGTTGGAGTACTAAAGTCAATTCTTATTTACTTCAAAATATGAGGAACTGGATAGAAGAAGTATAACTCTAATTATATAGAAT